ACTAAACTCAGGTAAACCATAAAAATGCATTCAAGTACCTTAATTAATAACAAAAATGTATCTTATTTGTGTATCTAGGGTTGCCACCTGTCCAGGATTCACCCGGACAGTCCGGGTTTGGAATGCTGTGTCCGGGTTTCATGGCATCAGAAACCTGGGCACAAGATGTCAAGCAGACAGGGACAACCAAAATTAAGATAGGGGCTACTGGCCCCCCACTGAAAACAGTGTCAACTGTGATATTTACATATGAATGGGCGGAGCTATTTACATATGAATAAGCCGCGACTCATTCTCCCCAAAAAATGTCTGCGCGTCGCTAGAGTGTCCGGGTTTGGCTTGAAGAAAAATGGCAACCCTATGTGTATCACTTGGCTGTAGATCCTCAAATCTATTAAGGTACTGGAATGTATTTAAGGTTTACTTCCTGAGTTTAGTGTCACTTTAAACATACCCCCCCAGCTTCCCTGCCTAGTACCCATTCTTTCATGTAAATAGGACTTATGGTGATCTCCAGGACTAGAGTGGAGTATGGACCATCCACAGGGATGAATGGGGCCACTGGTGCAAATGCCCACTAGGCATAGGACCCAGTTGGGATATTTCTTTTACTTGCAAAAGCTGTGTGGTGCTGGGCAGAACCATACAGAGAAGAATTTGGTGACCGGGAATGAAGGTAAGTCTTTTAGTGTGTGTGCTAAAGTGGGGGCTGGAGGGTACGAAGAACAGACTCGCTAAAATGTTCTATTAATGCACCAAATCTTCCATTCATGTTGCCCACATGCGATCAGGCTGCAAGACCTGGCCAAGATAGAATCTTTTGTCACAACCTATAGGACGAACAGCTATTTTGCAGTGTTACTGGAGTTACTAGCATAGATGAACTTTATTCTTGCTTTAAAGAGGAACTGAACTCTGCGAGGCAGGCAGATTGTTATGGACTAGTCACAAGTATTGTCTGCGGTCTTCCTGTGGCTGATCTTTTCCCCATTACTGACTTTCCATATCTTATTCTGCACAATGTCTTTGTGTGTGTGTGTGGAGGCGGCCATCTTGGTACAGGCAGCGCTTTGATTTCACATAGTGCCTTCAGCAAGGAGGACAGGGAGCAGCACAGAAGTGATATTACCCTGCTACAAATCTGAGACTAGCACTCAGAGGCAGCGGTGCCTTAGATCTAACACTGCAGATATACAGCTGTGAGGCTTAAAGTGACATTAAACTCACATCCCCCCCTCCCAATGCTGCTTGAAGGACTTACCTTAAATGATGCTTCTTGATCCGATCATCTTCTTCTTTCCTGTAGTTTTCAGGAGTCCTCCAGTGCTGGTGCCGGTCTCTGATACAGCGCTGACACCTGTGTCTTCTGACTTACTTGACTTACCTTGTGTCTCTCCTCATCTCCTGGCCGAAGATCTCTACTGTGCATGGCCGCTTGAGAATCTTCAGATCTTCAGCCGGGAGCGAGCGGCGGAGACGCAGGTGCTGGTCTCTGATCCAGCGCTGACTGCTGTGTCTTCTGTGTCCCATGGATGCTCCCGGTTGCACGCATTCACTTTCAATGTCGCTCTCCTCACCGGTGATATGGACTGCGCATGCACCCGCACACACTTCCCCCTGCACAGCCATTCGGAAAGCTGGGTTCTACAGCCGGGAGCGAGCGGAGCAGACGCAGGTAAGTTATTTTTTTTTACCTGTTTGGTAACTTTTTTATTTTTTTAAATGTTTTTGCATATATCTACTGCTTGCTAGCAGTAGCTATATGTAAAAAAAGACTTTAATACTGCTTTAAATATAACTTGCGCATTTGACCATAGTGGACACAGTACAGGCTCTCTTTACCGTAGAAAAACAACGCACCTCACTCCTATCATTTAAATGTAGCTTTTTCTGTTTGTCATTGAGCTTGTCAGTCTGCATGGCACAGGAAAAGGGGCCGGGATGCACCAACCATAGGGTTTAACAAAGATTGGCGCATGGAGGAAAATGTGCCAATTTCTATATGCACCCTTATTTAGCATTTTATGCCCCAAAGCAATGGAAGTGTTCCATGACAGTTTGTTAATTTATTGCATGATAGTGGTGTGCTGTCTGTCCACTCATATGCGTCTCCTCTCTCTCTCCAGTGCTGCTGCTCCTTGTCCACCTCCTCTTGCTACAGTATTTATGCCATTGTGGCAATGGTGTTCAGTTTAGAACAATTTTTACCTTAGAACATCGGCTTGGGTGTGTGATTATTTTGGCACACCCTATCGGACATTTATAGAAATTGACGGATTTGGAAAGTTATTTGGCGCACCAGGCACAACACTTCTATAATGGCGTTTATGATTTGGCACACTGAAAATGTGCCAATATTTGCAATGAAATAATTACATATTTCCCATTCTTAAGTGACATAAAGGTCAGTGGTAATGTAAGGACTTGCCTTAAATGATGCCTCTTAATCCAATCATCTTCCTCTTTCCTGGAGTTCTTAGCTGTCCCTCCAGCACTGGTGCCGGTCTCCGATCCAGAGCTGACTCCTCTGTCCTTCTCTTCTCTCATGTCCCACGGTGTCTGTGCGGGTGCACGCTGCTCCATAGACTTACCTTGTGTCTCTCCTCGTCTCCCGGCTGAACATCTGAACTGCGCATGCACCCGCCCCAAGATCCTTTGCGGCCGCCCGAGAAATGTTCAGATGTTCGGACGGGAGCGCACGGCGAAGACACAGGCAAGTATTAACCCTTAGAAAAAGTTTTTTTTTAAATCGTTTGGATATATCTACTGCTTGCTAGCAGTAGATATATGCAAAAACAAATGAGGGTTTAATAATCCTTTAATTCCCCCCAAACTGTTTCAGTGTGTCTGGTAATAAACTGGCTGCTCTGTCATCACATAGAAAATAAGTATAATTAGCTGTATTTTGCGATCTCAATACCTCCTTCTTTTAAAACAATACCTTGATTTGCAATACTTCTCCAAAATAGAAACTCTGACCTCTGATTGTAACTAATATTTATTTCCCATAATTATCCTGAGTCTGGTTGTTAATATTTCCACATATCTCAGTGAATTCCTGTGTGTTTGGCTGGTTTTACACATGCCGTGCATTGTGCTTGTTCCCTGTGTCTTCTTGTGTGACTAGGTAAAAAAAATAAGAGGAACATGTTCGCATCTACCTTTTCCTCTGCACTGGCCTCTGACTTGCAGCTGTATCCTCCCGGACAGCCAAGTCTGTGTTGCTGCTGAAATATCTGCCTGGAAACAAACCGTAATGGGAAAAAAATGAGGGGCCCCAGACCCAGATTTCACTTAACCCTTGTATTATTTTCACTTAACAATGCTCATTGATAAGGCACCGAGGCAAAGTTTAACTTGTTTGCTTAGGCAGCCGTTACCAGCCTGGATCCAAAAAACTTCCTTTATTAGCAGGCCTGCGAACTTTGCTGTAAATCTGCTTAGTGGATGCCTCTCTAGTTCATTGAGGTATTGGTGTAGGTGCCTGTAGGCCAAAGACAGGAAGATGTTTAAAACATTCTCTTTAGTCCCCTATTGCTCCGTTCAGTTGCTGGGAGCAATAGAAATAGCTGGCACTTTGGGAATGGAGATGTGACTAGCTTCCATTCTCCAAAATTACAGCACTTGGAGATTACACCATCAATTTCACATGAGGCAGGAGGAGAGTCCTCAGGCTTGAATAAGCCGAATTGGAACATATACAAGACTTAATTTCCTCGCTCCCGACGGCTGAACGGAGTGACAGAGAGTAGGGATGCACAGATACTTTTCGAGTACCAGTGCAGATACTTGGCATTTTCATGAGAACTACCAGGGTTGCAGCGGTTGCAGCTGGGACCTGGCTCTGGCGCTCCACCACTCTCCTGAAATCATTAGTCTGTATTGTTTTAGAAAAACTGTCACATGACAATAAACAAAAATGTATCAGTACTCGTACTTGTAAGTACTCGGCAAGTACCAGTACTCGTACTCGCAAAACTGGTATCTGTGCATCCCTTTATTTATATTTATAAAAACTAAATCGTACATTAAAACAGAGATGTACTAATCCCAGGAGCTCCGTGTGCTCCTTACAAATGACAGCTGCCTCCTAACTTTTTAATTTTTCTCTAGTCTAGTCTTGGAGCTCAAAAGTTATCGGTACATGTACTCGTACTTGTACCGAGTACTGTACTTTGTATCTGAGCAACCCTAGCACAGAGTGAATGAAAAAGTATAGACTTGCCATCGGGCAGTGGGGAAGCCAAGTGGTCCATTTGCTTTGTACTCTAAGGGCAATAAAAGGGTCACTTTCAGCAGTGAGATGTCAGCCATTCAGTTTGGACATTTTTGTCCAATGGGGTGATGATCTCAAGTATATGGAAGCTACATATAACATCTGACTTTGCCAAATTCTGTTGGGTGTACACATTGATTGGATAGGCTTCAAAGTCTTGTATGATTGCTTTTGTTTCATCCATGATAAATCAGAAGTGGGATTTGTTCTGCCTACCACTTGGCTAAATCTGTATGGTTAGGGCACCTGCAGATGATCTACAGCCCTTGCAGGTCTGTGACCAACTTTATAGAGAACAGCAGTTTTTGACACCTGCCTAGCCTTGAACTACTAGTCCCAGAGTGTCCTAATCTGCCATGATATTTGGAATGTCTTGGCTACAGTTCTGCTCTGTGCAAAACCATACTCTTTCCTTTGTTATTCCCGCACTAACAGTTGGAACTGGCACTGGTTAATGACCCTGGGCTAGACCTACACGAGCCAATCCTCACTTGATTGACAGTGATAGTTGAATCAGACGATTGGACTGCACTGAGCATATTTGACAACATTGTGTCTATGGACACCCAAGTTAAATAGGGACAAAGGAAGGAAGGAAGGATCCCAGGTAAGGGTAGTTGTATTTTCTGCTTATAGAAAGACATTATTGTGTGACATTTTCTGTTGTTTACAGCATTTTATATTACTATGGCTAATAACCTGTATTTTAATTTGTGTTTTTCAGGAGGGGACTTCTGACCATATACATGGCCAACCAGGTAAGAAGCAAGAAATTGCTTACCGAGGAGGTCACTTAAGTGTAAATTTGATAATGAATGGACTTTCCAATAATTTGACTATCACATGTTGCAACACAGAGCGCTCTACGCTCTACCTGCGACCCAAAGCCATGAGACTACTGGCAAGGTCTGGTATTGTGGGTTCTCCAGTCAGATATTACTATGTTCTGTGAATATGTGGAGCAGTATGAGCAATGATACGATATGTTTATGCTGTTTGAAGGGGAGAGGGGTCATCATGAGGTAGAGACCCATCTGTATGATATTAAAAATAAGGGTCAAAAGCCATTTAAAGAGACATCTAATTTTTCTTAGTCTCTGACAATGTTGGTTTTGATGTAGTGAGTTCAGCTCTGAAAAAAAGAAAATTTTCCAAAAAACACCCTGACCTCTAATCTTTCCCTATCTCATATCCTAACCCTAATACTAACTGCCTTGTCACACCTTGCCAGTGACAGAAAAGCTTAAATGACCCTAAACTCGGGAGTTAAACCTTAAAAATGCATTCAAGTACCCGAACTAATAACAACAATGTATCTTATTTGTGTATCACTCGGCTGTAGATCCTCAAATCATCTCTGAATTGGTGCGGACACTGTCCTTCCTTCTGGAGGGAGGCTATTTTTGTTCTCCATGGTCCCTGTGTGTGTTGTAAAGTAGTCACCACTCCAAGCTCACTCCCAGGATGGACTACAACCACAATACAAATTAACTAGCTAAACATGAGATTGTAGTCCATCATGGGAGTGAGCTTGGAGCGGTGGCTACTTTACAACTCATACAGGGACCATTGGGAACCAAAGTAGCCCCCCTCCAGAAGGAAGGACAGTGTCAGCACCAATTCAGAGATGATTTGAGGACCTACAGCCGAGTGATACACAAATAGGGTCCAGTATTGTTATTAGTTCGGTACTTGATTGCATTTTTAAGGTTTGACTCCTGAGTTTAGTGTCACTTTAGGGCTCATTCACTCCATCATGTGATGTGCTTGATCTTGACGCATTGCACTGTTTACATTTTTGTTAAAACTTTATTGAAATGGCATTTCATTAAATTCTATGGACACAATGCTGCCCGATGCAGTTGCAGCATGTTGTGCTGTGCTGAAAAAAAAGTACTGCATGCCGTACATTTTGGTGGTGTGAACTGAGCCCACCTGGAACAAGACAAATTGCCTTGTCTTGTGTTGTGTTGTGCTGGAAGAAATTGCCAGTGCAGCCCAAACCCATCCGGTGTGAATGGGCCCTTAAATAAAGTTTGAGGCCAAAGTCATCTAGTTAGATTATATAAATGTGAGAACTTAGAATGTTTATACTGCCGTACCTGCAGCAAGTTAATGTGGCATGCAAAAATAAACCAAAGAGAGAGAATTATATTTATTTATGTGCTTTGCCCGTATTTTTATAAGGGTGGAGCTTGTCACTCATCATGTTAAACGTCTAGCAGGTTCTATTCAATAGCACAAAGCCTCTTTTCCCATATGTTCCCCAATGTATTTATCATGAATTCAGAATCATATTATTTTGTATGATTTTTCTGGTTTTAGATGAATACATCACCTGCATTAAAGGACTTTTAAAGCCCCAGCACAATTTACCTGCAGTAGTATAGACTGCACCCATTTAATAAAGAATGTTTATTCTTAATGGCCAGTTCTAAAGTCTATAAACCAATCAAAATTTACCCTGCTTAATCCATCCAGTAAAAAATTAAAGCTCAGCTCAAATATAAAAGACAATGCAAGCAATGTAAGTACCTGAATTAGACCTTATATTACTCTTTTGCAGTCCCTGTACAAGAGGGCTGGAGTTAGAGAAGCAGCACAAGAATACAATCAATTCATATGCTAGTGATGAGGTAGTAGTGGCTTGGTAGTGATGAGCTATGGGCTTGGTGTGAACCCAGTTCGCCTGAGTTTGCCTGAACTCGCCCCGAGCCTGCTCAAAGTCAGAGTTTTAAGTGTGTTTGAGTAAACTCAGGTAAATTGGATTTACACCAAGTCCCAACTCATCATTACTGACAAGGACAAGAAGCATGCAGAATAACAGAGAGATGAGCTTATCACTGTGCTGCTTTTCCTTTCACTGTCCAGTCACAGGCTGGGGGCAGGTCCAGGACAACCTGGGCTCAAAGGAAGTTGGTTAAATGATGCAGGCCATCAGACTGAGGACATCTAGTGGCTGAAAAAAGTACTGTGGGGGAAATATTCGAATTGAAGGTGAATATTACAGCAAAAGCTAGTTTAGATATTTTATATTTATTGGGCTATTTATTTATTTTTAATCTAGTTATTTTTGCCTGGTCTTCTGATTTGATCCCTAATAGGTGCAGTAGACCACCGTGGGTAGCTTTTCTAGCAATTTCTATGCCATTTTTTGGCCAAATAGGGCGTGAGTTAGCTTTTATTGTGTGATTGAGGGGAGGTCTTATAGTGATAGAAAGCTGCTGCATGGTCCAGCCTTTCCCACTATATGTAAAAATTAATTTTTATGCTCTGTTGTCTCTATATTTTATCTTGAAGGAAATAAACCGATTCACAGACAGCAATAAAACCCCTGGCATGTTATTAAAGTGGGGATGCGCTCATACTGGTTTCTTGGTATTGAGTACGAGTACCGATATTGTACCGTTATATTGCTGTCAGTACTCGCCGTTACTGAGTACCAATACCAGTGCTTCCGCTGGCATGGATCCGGCTTCCCAGGCAATCAGGAAAGCGCGTAAAGGGAGACTGCCCGGCTTCCTGATTTCCTAGGAAGCCAACTCCATGTTTGGCCGTCTTGATGCTGATTGGCCAGGAAACCGGCTTCCCAGCCAATCAACATGGAGTTGGCTTCCCGGGCAATCAGGAAGGTGGGTGGCGAATAATGACCCGACTCCCGCCTTCCTGATTGGCCGGGTAGCCGGCTCCATGATTATTGGCTGGAAAGCCGTCTTGTCAGCCAATCAACATTGAGCCTGCTGATTGGCTGGAAAGTCGGCATGGGAGGCCGGTCATTACTTGCTGCCCGGCTTCCTGATTGCCCAGGAAGCCGTCTCCATGTTCCCCTACGACACTGCCCGTCAGAAGAAATCTTCCTCTGACCGGAAGTTTAAAGAGAACTATGGGGTAAGTGTTTTTCCCCATAGTTCTCCTAATGGTCACGGGTGAACATATACTAGCGTCCTCCCAAGACCCAAAGCTCAGTATATAGTGAGCTACAGCTCACAGTATACTGAGACCGCCACAGCCGGGATGGATCCTGACAATACTGTTGAGGTCCACCCAGCTGCGTGAGTGACAGTTGGCTCTGCCTATCTACAGGCAGAGCCAGCTGTACCCGCCCCCTCCCACGTCTGTTCCGCCAGTCAACACTGGAGGATCGGAGCCGACGTGTGACAGTTTCATTGTCGCACATCTGTTTGAACTATGAGGATGAGTGATTTTCACTCACCTCATAGTTCTCCTTTAAGGTATCGGAGCTTTGGGCGAGTAGTATCGGTATTTGTACACCCCTAGTTTTAAGTCATTTCCTTTCCATTCAAAGCTAAAAAAAACAACAAGTTTTGGTTGGGGTTCCATTTTGAGTTACGATGTTGGGGTAACAACCCTTGTATAGGGCCTTTAATGAACTGCAGGGAGTTAATTTAAAATGCAATGCAAACACAACCAATAGAGTAAGCAATTTGCCCTTATTGCTTTCATTGCACTGATAGGAGCCTGAACAAATCCTGATCCACCCCCACAGGATGTTCATACTCAGTTCATCGTAGGTGACACATGGAAATGACTCGAGAATAAATCTTTGCTCACAACATTACCTGTTTTCAGAACCCTTGTGAACTCTCTTGGACAGCCGAGTCCAAGTGTCACACCTAGACCCCTTTCATTGCCTCTATGTGCATCTGTTTCCTGCTTTACAAGTTTCTTATCAAGACATGAGGTCTCTCTTCCTGTGAACACATAGAGGAAAATGCGCTCATATGCCTTCTGATTGTCATTCTGCTTATAAGCGATACATGTTTACACAATCATGGAGGTGACAGCTGAATGAAATGTGGGAAGAAGCAGAAAATTGCTTATAGTAGCACTAAGATGCCTTTTTGGGGCCCCCTCTGCGTTTCCTCTTGACCAAATTGTATTGTATTATATTTTACTCTATGACGCTCGATATTCCAGAGGTAGATATTTATGGCCCTACAGATGCCAGCATGTCATAAGGTTCTGATGGTCAGCCACAAAATTAGGGTTGCCATAGATTGTACTCCTCCTCAAGATTTGTATCCACACTGAATTTAGTCATATTATTGTTGTTGTTGGTGGTGCTGTGTCATTATTAGAATTACATAGTATTTATATAGGGCCAACAGTTTGCACAGCGCTTTACAATGTAAGGAAGACATTACAATACAATTCAAGACAGGATGGTAAGGAGGGCCCTGTCCCTGAGGGCTTACAATCTAAAAGAGGGGGAAATGATACATGAGGAGGTAGCTGTGAGGGGATGGGTTATTTGAGAATGTGATGGTTCAGTGGTTAGGTTGAGGTGGGATAGGCTTCCCTGAAGAGATGAGTCTCTAGGGAACGCCTAAAGACAGTCAAGGTGGGAGATAGACGGACAGGTTGGGGTAAAGCGTTCCAGAGGATGGGAGAGACTCTAGAGAAGTCCTGGAGGCGAGTATGGGAGGAGTTGATGAGGGAGCTGGAAAGCAGGAGGTCTAGGGAAGAGCGGAGTGGAGGACGGTTAGGGTGATATTTTGAGACAAGGTCTGAGATATATCCGGGGACGGAGTTGTGGACGGCTTTATAAGTGGTTGTTAATATTTTGAATTTTATCCTCTGGGCTATTGGAAGCCAGTGGAGGGATTGACAGAGGGGGGAGCGGTTGGTTAAGTGAATGAGTCTAGCAGCTGCATTCATGATAGACTGAAGGGGGGATATCCTGTGTAGTGGAAGGCCAATGAGGAGCCAATGAGGTGTCATGGTGTGCATACTATGT